ACCTCAGCACTTTCTTGAGGCCGACAACTGGTCTAAACCAGCCCTGACTGCTTTAGAACTGCTTTTGTTGATCTATAATACCCTTTAGCTAATTGTAATACTAAGATATCTGCCTAGAATTATAATATCATTAACATAATACAAAGTAAGAGTTCTGTGTGACTCACTGAGAAGAGATTTAAGGTGACACCATGGGTGGACAGTGCAGGTTTTACTCTCTGAAGAACTTCTGCAACCACCCAGGAGTGTGTGCCTGGAGAGTTCCTGTACTAACCAGCAGTGAGTGCCTACATGATCCCTGTGTTATCCAAGAGTGAATGCCTGGAGGGCTCTTGTACTTACTAGGAGTGAATGTCTGGAAGATCCCTGGGTTAAGCAGGAATAAGTGCCCTTGTAAGTGACCAGTAATAAACTCATCTAATTCACCAAGCTGGACTTGTCTGAGTTGTTCTTTGCTCTTTTGGCTCCATCTCAATTTGGAGGGGTGGTTTTTCTATATTGTCCCAGGGTTTTCCTGAAACAAAACTATCCTCTCATTGAATTTTCTTGTTATCTTTGTCAAACATCAATTGAACATAAATGATAACTGTTTATTTCTGGACGCTCAATTCTACTCCATTGAGCTATATGTCTACCTTTATGCCAGTATGTAGTGAATTCTTACAATTTTACATTGCCTTGGCATCTATATGCAGGTTTAACTTTAAAATATACCAGAATCAGGGCTCAGTCACCTTTGACACAGTTTCCAGTTCTACACCACACCAGCTCAAGCAGTGGACAGAGATAAGAACTTAGAGGCATCTTTCCTATCTAGCAGAATGGGGTCCCCACTTTTCTACAATTTCCTTTAAATGGACCATTCAGGCATTTGTCCACGAACTTAAAGTGACTCATACCCTATTCCTTTATATAATTGACCTTTGAACATCATTGATGTTAGGGGTACTGACCCGCCACATAGTTGAACATAAACGTTTAACTTTTGGCTCCCCCAAAACTTAACTACTAATAGCCTATTGTTGATTGGAAGCCTTTTTGATAACATAAACAGTCAATTAATACATATTTTATATGTATTATATACTATATTCTTACAATCAAGTAAGCCAAAGAAAAGAAAATGTTATTAACATAATAATAAGGAAGAAAAATATATTTACTATTCATTAAATGGAAATGGATCATCACACATGTCTTGTCATCCTTGTCATATTCATGTTGAATAGGCTGAGGAGGAGGAGGAAGAGGAGGGGTTGGTATTGTTGCCCCAGGGGTGGCAGAGGTAGAAGAAAATCCATATATAAGTGGACTCACACAGTTCAAACCTCTGCTGTTCAAGAGTGAACTGTATATACTGCTAGTTGCCATGCTTTCTCTCTGTGACTCTTCATTGCTGCTTCATGTGACCTAGGGATGGAACACTAACCTTGAGACTCATTGAGCCCTATCTGCCAAGGATCTGTAAGTAAAAATATTTGAACTTGTTCCCAATTTGTGGTAGTGTATTGAATTTGTGTTTTCCATCAGGAGAACCAGGGGCTGTCCCCAGCCAGGTTTTCCCCAGGATGCTGAACACAAGTTCAGGCTCCCAGCTCAAGTGATGGTCAGGCACGCATAAACTGGACAGAAGTCAGAAAAGAGCCACAAGGGTGTCTGTCAGTATAAACAAGTTTCCCATGTGAGGGATCCCCTGGTTGCAAGTCAAACAAATAGGCATTAGATCATTTGTCAATTGAAAGAAGTATCCCATGAAAGGCATACTGTAAACACCCAAGTCCAGCTCCCTTCAATTCCCATTAGGGAATTAGGTTGTTAGCTGCTCTGATACTGGAACCCCAATTTAGCTGAAGGCTCTCAAAACACAGTACGATGCCTATCTTGATTATTGGAAATTTGCAGTAAGTTTTGAAATTGGAATTTGTGAGTACTACAACTTTTTTCTTTTTTATTAAGATTGTTTTAACTGTTAAGGGTCCCTTACATTTTTGTACAAATTGTAGAATGAGCTTGTCAGCTTCTGCAAAAGATGGAAGTTTGATAGTGATTGTAATGAATCTGTACATTGAAATAAGAAGTTTTGCCATCTTACCTAAATTAAGTATTCCAATCTGTGGATACAGGCTATCTTTCCATTTGTTTAGGTCTTTACTTTATGTTGTGATATTATTATTTTAAACTGGCATGTAATTGTATATATTTATTGTGTAAAATTTGATGCTTTAATATATATATATGTTGTTTAATGATCAAATCATAGTATTTAGCATAACTGTCACTTCATGAATTTGTCATTTTTGTGGTAAAAATATTCAAGAGCATCTCTTCTAGCTATTGTGTTGAATTGTACACTTAAAAAATACATGAAGAGGCTGGGCATGGTGGCTCACGCCTATAATCCTAGCACTCTGGGAGGCCGAGGTGGGAGGATTGTTTGAGCTCAGGAGTTCGAGACCAGCTCTGAGCAAGAGCGAGACCCTGTCTCTATCAAAAATAGAAAAAATTAGCTGGGCATGGTGGTGCATACCTGTAGTCCTAGCTACTTGGGAGGCTGAGGCAGGAGGATTGCTTGAGCCCAGGAGTTTGAGGTTGCTATGAGCTAGGCTGACGCACCATGGCACTCTAGCCCAGGCACCAGAGTGAGACTCTGTCTCAAAAGAAAAAAAAAAATGCATGAAGAAACTGAGGCTCAGAGAAGTAAGATCGCACTTGCAAGTAGCAGAACCATAATCTAAATAAAAGTTTGTCTAAATAAAAAATAAATATATTTTCTTTCCTCTGCATCACATGGCCTCCTATGGTGAGGTCAAGTTGAAAGCTTGGCTAAATCAGAATAAAGGAGATTTAGGAAGGTTGCTACCAGCTCAGTCTGGAAGTGAGCAACACAGAAGGGCCCACATTGTTACAGGGAAGAAGCATTCCCACAGATTTTGCTCAGGTAGTTATCAGAAGGAATGTCAAATTGGGAATGCATAAGTAAGGTGCAGCTGCCCTAAGTTGCTCTGTGTTCTTTCTATGTGACAATTTTCCTGGCCTGTCAGGGATGGGGTGTTTTTTATAAAAGTGATCCTTATCTCCATGGAATTGTCTTTGGGACCAGGTCTAACATCTATGCCTTCGAAGAGCCGGAAGATCCTGAAGGGCCTAGAAGATTTTTATGAAGAGAATACTTCCTCAGAAAGCCCTTTCTGACTTTCAGGCCAGGAAAACCCTTCTCCACAGTCTTTTGAAAGTCTGCGGAACTTTCATTTGGAGCACTTGCCATCATTGTAATTTTACGTTTATTATTATAACTACTGATTGTCTCCCCCATGAAGCGGTACAGACCTTAACCTTTCCACCTCTCTACCAGTGACTGGCACATAGAGAGGAGTCAACAAATATTCATGAATGCATGAACACAGGAATGAAGTAACAGACAACTCAGCTTTCTTCTTTGATATAGCTTGATTGAAATTAATCTCCATTTAAGAGGATAAAAGATTAAAAATAAAGAGCCTTGGTAAAAATAAATAAGATATAATACAGAAGAAAGAGACACAGAAAAAAACAATCAAACCATTCTGCCAGGAGCAGATCCAGGTTTTATTGTGCCTAAACCTTATTTAGAATCTGAGGGAAACCTCTTTAAGAAAAACAATTCTGTTTGAATACAGAGTTGCTAGGACTGTTGCCCCCCTCCCCCCACTGCCCTGCCTCCTGCCTACCAGACACAAGCACAAGCCATTGAGGCCCTTTATTATGTGGACAAAAGCAGCTGCAAGAATCTACCAAGAAGCCCATGCAGAGTCCTCAGATAGGTCCCACTTGAAGCCAGGACCTCTGGCTATGAGCTTGCCTAGTATCAAGGGAGCATGTGATCTCCAGTAGCCATGGAAAGGGTATGCTGCTATCTCCTTAATAAGTTTCCAGGAAGCTGGCAGTGCTACATTCTCATCAAATTTTCTGGGTTCCAATACCATAGATCACTCACTGTAAGTAGCCCATATTGAAGAGTTCTCAGAAGAGTCTGCTGATATCCAGCTCGTTAGAGGCATAGAGAAGAGAGACAGGCCTTCCTTTTGGAGAGAGAGAGAAATGGGTTGAAAACGCACGTTGTAAGGACTAGAGGGCTCCTTGAGAACAGGGAATACACCAGTGACATCACCTCTGGCCATGTTGGCACAGAATGGGTACTCAGGTAATACCTGAGGCATCATGGTGGACAGAGCCTGACAAAAGGAGTCACCCTCCAGCCCTGTTCTAATCACAGCCCTCCAGCCTAGCAGGAGGCTGCAAAATTGCTTAGGTTATACTTAGCAATCATTAATACTTCCTTCCCTCTCAGACCAAAGCTGCATCTCTCTGGTTTAACCAAGCCATAAAATACATAGGTCTTCTGATAGCATGTGAAAACAGTGCCCTTTGAAGCAATTGTGCCATCAATCCAATGGATGTGCTTCCCTCTGTGAACAATGAGGCCAAAGATAAATAAATGGCCAGTGCACCTCATGAATCCCTCTGGGACAGGGCAGCCCAAAGAAAACGATGGAGTTCAGCACATTAGTATAAAATAAAAATGGATGGTATCTATTCTGCAGCAATCTGAACTTCAGCTGCTCTGACATCTAAGAGTGCCTTGCTGATCTCCCTCAATGTCAACTATCTTAGAGCTCAGGCTGTGTGTCAGGGTATTTTAGTGGAAATATAAGCTCAAAAGGGCACAATCCAAAAGAATTCCTGCACCTTTCACTAACAGCAAGACAACCAGATCTTCCAATTTCTGTAATGCAGGGCTTATCTGCAGGCCAGCCTTGTATCATCTACAGAAAGGGAAAAGAAGCACCAGCGCAACAGACATGAGCAGGAATGGAGCATCCAATTGTCAGGCCTTGAACTTGCTCCCTATTTGCCATTTCTCCATTTATTTAACAAATATTTGCTGCCCACAGTAGCAGGCAACCCTGTGATCTCCTTGTAGGAAGAGATCGTGTCTTTCTTTTTTTTTTTTTTTTAAATACATTTTTATTAAAAGCAGTAGAGTCTGAGCAGGAAGACAGTACAAAGAATGTAAACAATGTAAACATCACTACATTCAGCTCAGCCTGATTGAATGCTGAAAGACAACTCTAAAATGCTCTATGTGCCCTTACTAGCATGATACATTAATTCTATTTTATACAGACAACACACACTAACTTTGATTATGCAGAAGTATTTTATCGAAGTCGATCCCAGCGCCAAATACTGGCATCATCACAGACAACTATGAGAATGCTGCTATCCCTGCTAAAACTGGTTTGTCGAATAGCAGCACCACATTTATGATGGGTCAGTGTTGTACATCTTTTGCCAGAAATCCATAGAAAACCTCATGTACCAAATGTCACACTGGCTATAATCAAATCGCCCAAGAATAGTCACATTAGACTCACTGGGTTTAATTTTATCTATATCATCTTCCATTTTGCCTGGTTTCCAGCACACAATGGCATTTTCACAAGACTTAGAAAGTATCAACTCGTCTAACCATCGCACACAATCAACATAATTCCTATGTATGTCTCTGGTAGAAAAATCAGGAAAATGGATTTTCTGAGAAATAAATGGCCTGTTAGTTTTATTTGGGTTATAATCATAAGATTCCTTAATTGCATTCATCATTCTCTTTGAATTGATCCTCCAAAGTTTAAGAGAGTGATCCATACCACAAGACATTATTTTTTCACCCAAAAGATCATAATCAGCACTTAGAACTTCATCTCTGTGCCCTTCTACACCTCCAAATATTGCCACCAGAGTGTCCGTTTGGATATTCCATAATCATAAAGCATGATCTTTACTTACTGACAGGAGAAGATTTGGATCTCCTGGGTGGAATTTCAGCTCATTGATAGCATTTCCATGGCCAACATAGTGCTTTATACACTGCATTGTTATAGGATTAATTATCCTAATTATGCCTCTGGATCCAGCTACAGCCAACAGAGGATGGCTTGTATTGCTATCATAGGTCCAAGCACAAGTGTAAAAGTTTTCATCAGCATCAGCATCCACATAAGATTGCAACAACCAGATTTCACCTTGTGAATGACATTCATATAAGGTAACTCTGTTGCTTCCAACAGTTGCAAATACTAATGGATCTCCTTCTTTACTGTGCCAGTTAAACTGAACTCCAAACAATGGTTGGTTATGATCTTCCTTGAGACTATTTACACATTTGAAAGAATATTTGCATTTCTTTGACTTCCATTTTCCCTTTCCCCAACTTTTCCTTCCAGGTGCATTTGGCGTGTTTGTAGGTGTATCAGGGAGTTCAGTGTTTGTACCACTTTCTATACTGACAGCATCATCATTCTCGTCTCCAGAGAGGTCCGGGTTGCTGTTCTCGTCGCTGCTCAGCTTCTGCTTCTTGGCTGCAGGCATGTCTGTTCCCGCCGGCGCTGTCGACACTTCCCTCTCGGACATATTCCTCCGCCATGTCTTTCTTTTGGCTGTAAAGAACCATGAATACAGGATAGAAGAAGATGTAGCTCTGGCCCTCAAGGAGATCACAAGAGAGCAGGGAGACAGATAATAAACCCAATTAAAATCCGTTATGACCAGCGTGGTGATAGTGGTAGCCACAGGTGCTGTACCAACACATAAAGCCTCTAGTCTCAGTGGATAGTGGGAGATTTTCTGGGTGAAGTGGCATCTAAGAAATGAGTAGCACTAGCCTGGTGAAAGAAGAAGGTGTTACAGTCTATTTTGTCAGGCGGAACCTGCAGCTAGAACCAAACCAAAAACAGTAGCAAAGGAGTTCCCACAACAGATTGCCCCAAACCATCCTAAAATAGGTCTAATTGGGATTCCAAAGAAAGAAGCACTAAATGCTAGAGTGATTGGTCCAAAGCATTTATTAGGGGAAGTTATATACAAAGTGTTACAGTAGTCCTCACAACAGACAGAGAAATGAAATCTTCTACCTAGGTATGTCCACAACATGAGGGTCAGGCTTTAAGGAATTTGGCTCAAGGAGGGGGCTAGTTTCTATGTACATGGCAACATGGTAGATCTTTTATTGTTTTAAACAACCTAAATAAATTTTTTTAGTGTTTGGAAATATTCAAGGCCCCAGCTTGGGTTCAAGCCTGCAGAAAAACCTGCAGCTGGATGAGTCACAGAGTGATCAAGACAAGAGAAAAGTGGGAAATACCAGGATATCAAACACACACAAAGGTAAGTACATGGCCAAAGGATTGGCAATAAGTAAGAACAGGACCTAGGAGGGGAACCTAAGGAAGCTTAGTCTGGTTGGAGGGACAAGTTTAGTCTGGCAAATGGGGAAGAAACAAGGGATGGGGCTGGAGAAACAGGCAGGAGTCTGCTCATGAAAAAATGTTAAAAAGGTTGAACCATCATTGCATCAATGGGAAGCTACTGAAATGTTTCAATGAAGAAAGTAGCTGGTTAGATTTTCATCCTAGATATACTTCTCTGGTTGCAGAGTGGAGGATGGATTGAAGGAGGAAAAACTGTGCAAATATGAGAGACAGTTAAAATAATCCAAGAAAGAGATGATGGTTGCCTAAGGTGGAGACAGTGGGAATGGAGGAAAGTAGATAGATTCAAGAGGTATTTTAGGAGCTACATTCAATAGCAGAAGTAGGAAAAGAAATAGGGCTGAGTATCTCCATTCCACAGGGCTTAAGCGAGAGATTGGAGGCACAGTGTCTAGAAGGGAAAGCAAGTTTAGATATGAGTCAAAAATTTTCTACTACAAAGAGGTCCAAGGAGGCAAAGTCCAGCAACAGGACCCTAAGAAACAGGCCATCTTTGGTGCCAGAGAAACTACAGTCCGGGATCTAACTGACAGAGCTTAAGCAGTCAAAAAACTGTGTCCTCAAGGAACAGTTGGCTCCTGCATGCTAAGGAACAGAACCTAACCCAAGATCTCACCATGCTGCTTCCATGCTATCTGTCCCAGTCAAGATAATCTCAGGGACCAAAGCAAGCCAGGGCTCAAAGTTGCTGTGTGTCTATAGCTTCAGTCAGAGGATCCAAAAGCAAGGAAATGTTTCATCACTGTGTGGGGTAGGGATTCTGACAGTGATCAGTTGGAAGATTTTGCTCCACATGGCATCAGCTGCGCTTACTTAATGGTGTCAGCTGACAAATGGGCCTATCTGCAAGATTTAGAATGGCTTCAGCCATGTGTCTGGTGCCTTGGTGGGGATGGTTGCCAGTTTTCCACTCAGGTGGGATTACTGACAATAACACTTACATGTGGCTGCAGTTAGTCACACTTCACACATGGCAGCTCAAGGCTCCCAAAGAGATATCTCAAGATTCAGGAAATTGGCACAGCATCACTGCCATTGTATTGCACTGGTCAAAGCAGTCAAATATCCAGTCCAGATTCAAGGGGAGCCTCTTGATGGGAGGAATGTCAGCAACTTTGCATCCATCTTTAATCCACAATGACAGCCAAAATGAGATAAAGCAGATAAGGTATTTAGCATAGTGCCTGACACATAGTAAGCACATGATACACAAATAGTGTTATTTTGTGTGGCCAAAGGCAATGTTCAAATGAAGAAAACCATGAATTGGAAGGTCTCTCCAAAGTTCTCAAATTGCTATGGCCCTTTACTAGTTAATGTCATCCAATCCAGTGCCATATTTATCTCTCAATCCCTGGGTCAGTTTGATAATTACATTTTTTTGCCTCTTTACATTTTTTTTACTGAGATCCTATACTAAAGAAGGAATAAAGTTGTTGTAGAGAATGGAGGCCATGTGTAAAAATGAAAATATGTGTGTCAGTGTGTCCTCAAAATCAGTGGGTAGGAGGAAAGAGAGGCAAAAACAACCCGGGGGGGCGGAGCAAGATGGCGGACGAATAACACCGCTAGACAGAGTGTCTCTGCAGAAAAGACAGATTCTAGCAGAAATTACAGGAAAGAAGCAAGAAGACGGGCATACAGCACACAAGGGCCGGAAGGAGGGATACCTGAGACCCCGGGAGACTCCACGGGAGAAGGCTGCGGAGGAGAACTGGAGGTTGAGACCACCAGAGCAGCCCGGAGAGCAGCGGCAAGGGTAGGTGGATTTGCTGTTTCCCCTCCCCTGCATTCGGGACTGCTGGTGGGCTCCCCAGCGGGTGGAGAGACCTGCAGACACCAGCCCAGAAACCACCGCCAACTGCCAACGGTGAGCCTGTAGCAGACGTGGCACCAGGTTCCTAACTTCCTCCGGGCACTTCTGGGTGCACAGACACGAGCCGCACGGCAGGCGCATTATTGCCTCCTCCTCCCCTCCGCCAACCCTACCCACAGCTGCCCAGAGAGAAAATACAGCCACCAGCCGGAGGCACTTCCAGGGAATGGGACCTTCCCGTTTGGGACCCTAAACCTGACTCAGGGGAACTCAGACTGTGAGCTACCTACCTGCCTGCCCTCCCAGGTGCTGCTGGCACCGTGTTCCCAGGAGAACGGTGCCGACCCATAGGCTGAGAGACATAGACCCAGCTTGGGCTTCCTGTGGGTGAATTGGGACCAGAAATCCTCTCCCTGGTGGGGATACAGTTTGAACTCTGGGACCCAGAGGTCGGACCTACAGACCAGATCCCCTGCACCGAGGGCTAGCATTGTCTGGGGCACAGAAGGGTTATACGTGAACAGCCTACTGAGGTCTGTGTGCCTCCAGGGGCGGATCGGCGTCCTAGAGGGCAACCCTCCTCCCAGGAGGAGGCCGTGCGCCCAACCCAGGTGGCGTTCCTGTGCAGGGAACCTCCCCACCAGCATCACAGAGATGACCACTCTACAAAAAAGACACCTGCACTCGAATGTTTATAGCAGCACAATTCATAATTGCAAGGCTGTGGAAACAGCCCAAGTGCCATCAATCCAAGAATGGATTAATAAAATGTGGTATATGTATACCATGGAGTACTATTCAGCCTAAGCAATGGTGATATAGCATCTTTTAATTTTCCTGGTTAGAGCTGGACCATACTACTAAGTGAAGTATCCAAGATGGAAAAACAAGCACCAGATAATTTCCAGCACAGTAGTATTAACTGAGTAGCACCTAAGTGGACACATAGGTATACAGTATAGGTATTGGGCAGGTGGAGGGGAGAGGGGGCGGGTATATACATACATAATGAGTGAGATGTGCACCATCTGGGGGATGGTCATGATGGAGACTCAGACTTTTGGGGGAGGGGGAAATGGCATTATTTAAACCTTAAATCTGTACCCCATAAATTCCGAATAAAAAAAACGAAAAAAAAAAAAAAC